CCAGGACCATTTGTGATGCCCTAAGCGAGCTGTCCACGAGGAAGTCGGTTTCCGAGAGGCCCAGCCACCCAGGGACCACTTAGCCCTCCCTTTTCACAGGTCTAGTCTGTCTGGGGGATAATGTTTGAAACAGGGCAAGGTGCCAGGTCTGTGATGCTACAGGGTCCAGAGCACGTTTGTCTCACAAATCCAGGGACCTCCTTCCCTCTCCTCCTTCAACAGGGTTATTGAGTGTCTCTGCCATGTGGGCTGGCTTTCACATCCCTGGGGCAGCTCTCCCCTTCAGGGATGGGACGTTAGAGCCCAGAGAAGCAGCCTGGCATTGTGCTCTGCCTTTGCCGCCACCAAAGGCTCCCTCTTTTTGCACAAAATGGATCAGTCGGGATGCAGTTACAGGGAAAGGAGCCCTTTCTATCTGGCTATGTGAAAGGAGATATAACATGAGGATTACCTGCTTTCAAAATCCTTGGAAAGGCTTGCAGAGCAAGCCAAAGCTTGGATCTCCAAGATTAAGCTTCTAGAAAGCCAGCTGCTGGTCCATAGTCAGGAAGCCACCCTTGCGGGCCACCATCCACCTCCGTGCCCTCCTAACTCAGCCCCTCACTTAAGTTTTGCTGAAGTGTTTCCTAGAAGTGACGTTCCAGCTGTGACCCCAGCTGCAAGGGAGTTCTGGAAATGTATTTTAAATGTTTTTGTTTGCTAATGCACCCTCTTTTTTTTTCCAAGAAGAGGTGAAAGCAACATAAAAATAAAATAAGCAAGGGAAAAAGGGGGAAAAAAGCTGGACCTAGGGACAGGCTCAACACATAGAATACTTGCTGTATTGCTAAAGATGGGTCACAGATCTGACTCTGAGCTTCCCAGCATCTAGAGTAAAGAGGGAAAGCTGAGCAGATGCAAGTGAACCCATTGCTCAGGAGCGCTTTCCTGAACTGGTGAAACCGGTGGCCACTGGGGTGATCCCGTATCCTTGTGGAAAATGCAATAGCCGGTTTCATTCAGTTTCAGTCATATCTCTAATGGCTCAAAATGCAGCTTGGTGGCTTAATTCCCAAACCCAGTTCTCTGGGGTGGCTCTGCCAGAAAGCAAGAGAGCGAGTTTAAAGTCACCTTCCTCTACATTGTCAAGGGGCAATGAAGGCCTTCCACTCCGTGCAGCGCAGGAGACGCAGGTGCTGGCTGTCCAGCCCTCACCGCAGGGAGACGCACCAGGAGGAGTGTGGGACAGACTCTGAGGGAGCCGTGTGCGTGGATACGGGTCTGCTGCATTAGGAGAAATGGATGAGGGGAGCATTTTACGTACTCAGAAACCTGTTGTGAGTGACGTTTGTATTTATAGCTAGAAGGACAAACTCAAAATAAAATTTGGTTTAGGAAAGTCTGCTTCTGGATCCCTCCCCCACACCCCCGGTTAGTCTGCTGTGTTGCCTTTTTGCAACTTTCAGCTCAAATGTGTGATCGTTGATCAGGAGACCACTGTCGTTAGACCTGCACTCCCAGGTGCCCTTGACCTTCAAACCTCAAACTTTTGCTTCTGAAAACTGGCTGGACTCAGGTCAAACGGGTGTCTGTCGGCTGCGGACTTCGGAGCACTTGTGGTCCTCGGAAGTTATCTGGAATTCAGCCCGCTCTCCTCCTCTTTGGGTGGTGTCGCACATCTTCCCCAAGGACAAAGAAGTCAGAAATTGGGCAGAGAGCAGACGGCATGTCCGGCCGCACCCCCACTGCAGTTTCATCTCGCCACCCACGAAACAATAGACACTCAGTGCCCAAGGCCACCCTCTTATTTCTGGGCCCCTTTAGGGTCTCGGGTGCTGAAACATCTTTAAACACAGCTGCGTTCTCAGGAGGTGAAGATAAAGGTGCTGGACCAAAGCTACCCTTTGGAAAATTCTTGGGTTTTGGAACTGGGGTTGACATTTCCACACTTTATATGAAAAGCATCTTTATTCTTACTTAAGCTGCAGCGGGATGGGCATTTAGGGGTCCCTCTCTTTTACTTCTTAAGGCAGGACGACACCTTCCTCTTTCACTCACTGTGTCTCTTTTGTCCAAAATGGGAGGAAACACTGCTTGTAATTCTGGGAGGGCCAGTGCTTGGTGTGACACTTGGATCTGATTCAACATGGCAATTTGAAAGGTGGAAGCATACTGGAGTGTGTTAGGAGGACGTGTGCTGGGATCCGGTCCAACTTGATTAAGTCACTTAACCTCCCCTTCTGTAAAGTGCTGAGATGACCAGTACTGACTGCGTACCGCTGCCATGAGACGTGAAGGATGTAACCCGGGTACGGCACTCGGCCCAGGAAGTGCTCACAAAGTGTCACCGGCAGACATGCAGCAGGCCTCCGCCGAGAGCTACACAAATGGATTAACCTGTGACTAAATAATTGCAGCCTTTCCTCCCATCTCCCAGAGAGCCCGGTGCGAGAGCGTAATTAGTCTCCTGAAAACAGGACAGCCCTGCCACATCCCTCACGGAAATGCACCCCTTCCACGGTGTCTCCGAGTTCCGGAGACACAGCCCCGGGAAGGAGGGCACGTGGTACCACCCAGCAGAGGACAGTTGGAGGCCCTCCGCGTTCTGCACGCTGCACAAAACTATTTTTACTTGTCAGTCTCGCTGATGGAGTTGGTGTGTGGGGGTCACTCTGGTGACAGCCCGCGCCCTGCTCTTGAGATGGGACTGCTGTTTCGGCGAGAAATCATTATCTTGCGGGTGCACCACTGCGCCTGTCTCTGCTTGTCAGCCGCGTGCTGACACGTTTGCAAACCTCTGATTCCTTTGTAGCCCCCTGTTTGGGTTTTGGGCATCATTTAACTCCTGAAGGTCTGAATCAGCGGCTGCTCGCTGGAGGCCTGTGTCCCTCTCTCCTGCCCCTGTCCTCCTTCCCACAGCCCTGGAGCACATGGGCTTTCTCTGAAGTCCCTCTGGCCTCCGGGCTGTCTGTGGGTCTGGTGTCTTGCTCTGATTCTAGAACTTTCCATCCTCCCTTTCCCACAGACCCATGTTGGGCATGCTCACTTTATGCCAACTGATTCTTGCAAACCTGGAGAATTTCTGAGGCTCCATCAAGCCATTTGCGTGGGTTGCACGGCCAGACTGTGGGGATGCAGCCTGGCAGTTCCCTGGTGGGTTATTCCATGGGGAACGATTGTGTCGGTTCCTTGCTCTTCTCACCTCTTGTCCCCTCCCTTCTGGCGAGAATTGTGGCAGTGGCCTCCGAGGTTCAGAGCTGTCGGCTGTTGGGGGCGGGGGATTGGGTCCTTTCTTATTCCTTTTCTGGACAAAAATCAATGCAAAGGATCCTTATCTTCAAGGACTCGTTGTGACTCAGAGGCTGCGGCTACTCCAGGCCTCACAAACACATTCCACTGCCAACAGCGCCTTGTCTGCTGGGGCCTGGGGTGGCTGCTTTGCCCGGGGGGGCCTGTCAGGAAAGGAACCCGATCTGGCCCCACCCTTGCTCTGCACGCGCTTTCATCACGGCATCTGTTTTCACTGCTTGGTCCTTCCCATGTCACTCAGCCCCTGGGCCGCCCTCCTGGCACCGCGCCCAGGCCCAGCCTGATGGCCCAGAGATGGAGGCAGATGTCACTGACAGGGAGGTGTCATCGCTGTGGGTTGCTGCCGCAGCTGTGTCTGGCCTGGGGGCTCTGCCTCCCAGTGAATGATTAAACGTCAACCTACAACGATGATTCAAGCCCTTTCTGGAGGGCTTAGAGCTTTGCCAGAACCCTGGGTATGTTTCTGAAACAGAGTGTCCCCCTGTGCCTCTTTAAAAGGTAGATCATGCAACAACATCTGGGGACAAATACCAAGGTTTGAATGCATAAGGTCCTATACCCTGTTCATTCTGAATGCAAAGAACTTGGGCACAAGGTGTAAATTAGCTCAGTTTTTATCATTGGACTGTTTGGTGCCATATGCTGTTTTGACCTAATGAGGATGTGGCTGTAGATCACAGGGAGCATCCACGCGGCCGGGATCTCAGAATCTCTATTTAGCTCCTCCACTAGTTAATTTTGTGGAGAGAGCTGGAGGTTAAGGGCAGTGGTGCTGGTCTGTGGGGGGTGCTGGTCACATCAGGGCTTTAGGCCCCCAGATTGGAGGTGTTTTGGCCCCCAGGATACAGATGAGGAAACTGAGGCGGAGAGAGGTGAAGTAATCTCACTGCCAGGCTCACCCAGCAGCAGCGGGTGGAGCTGGGATCACACGCTGGTGGGTCCGTGCTGAGGCCGCTGCTCCCAGCCGCTGGGTACACTGGCAGGCGGGGACTCCATCAGCAGACACGCCCATGAAGCGTGATTGTCCCTGCGTGGCCACGGGGAGCGGGGTTTGAGCTTCTGCGATGGAAAGTCAGAATCAGAGCTCATTGACTGACTCGTGCATTCCTTACTCATTTCTTCACTCACTCACTCATTCATTTATTCACTCACTTGCTCATTCATTCATTCACTCATTCACTCACTCATTCATTCATTCACTCATTCACTCACTCATTCACTCACTTGCTCATTCATTCATTTATTCACTCATTCATCACTCGCTCATTTGCTCAGTAAGTGGAGTATCCACCGTGCACCAGGCACCATTCTGGGACACCGTGATGAACCAGACAAGGTCCCTGCCTCCCTGGGCTTTGTATTCTAGTGGGGGGGATGGATCATGAGTAAGTAGTCGTCTAGGATGAGGCGGGGCGCTGCGGGCTGTAAGCAGTGTGAGTACAAGTGCCCAATGGAGAGGGCCGGGAGAGAGCGGAGTGAGGAGGTGGAGACGGCAGAGGACGCGGCCCTTTCCTGGGCTCACTGTAGCTGGGAGCAGAGCACAGCGTCAGCTGGAGGGGGCGGTGGGGACATGCCTGGCGCTGCTTCATGTTTGTGTGTTGAGTGAGTGAATGGAGTCTGCTGGGCGAGTGAAGGGAAGGCACTGTCTATCCCTTTAGGCTACAGGACAAAATATGACAGTAGAGGTTCCTTCTTACTCCTTTTCTGGCCAGAAATCAATGCAAAGGATCCTTAACACCCAAAGTGAACTAGCTCACAGTCCTGGAGGCTGCAAGTCCGACAGCGTGGCTCCAGCGCGGTCCCGTTCTGCTGAGAGTCCTCTTCTGGGTGCAGACAGCTGCCTTCTCCTGGTATCCTCACGTGGGAAGAGGGGGCGAACTAGCCATCTGGCCTCCTCTCATAAGGACACTAGCCCCGTTTGTGAGGGCTCCTTCCGCAGGACCTGATTGCTCTCAAAGATCCCGCCTCTTAACACCACCACACTGAGGATTAGATTTCAACACGTGAACGGGCGGGGGAGGGGGTGGACACAAACATTCAGACCGTCAGAGGCTCCATGGTGAATCAGTGAGCAGGGGGCGTGAGGGATGAATGGATGGAAGGACAGATGGGTGGACGGATGGGTGGACGACAGATGGACGGCACTGTGAAGTCGTGCCACACAGGCTCAGGGTGGCGGTGGGAGCCTGGAATGATGACCCGAGCTTCCCCACTCCCAGCGCGGGGAGTCCTTGTCTCTCGGGCACCCCTTCTAGGGAAGGCCTCCCTACTCTAGGGTCATTCCTCTCGGGTCACTGCCTGCAGTGCTGCGCTGTGGCCTCCTTCCCTCTTTGCTCTGCTGGCCCCTGGGGGTTGACAGGGGTTCAGGGCGACTTACACCTCTCTTTCTCTCCTACAATTTCTGCCAAATGTAGATCGGGCCCGCTCAGGAGTTGGGAGGAGCTCAGTCTGGCTAGAGCATCCAGGGTGAGGAGTCAGGACAAAGGGAGGTGGGAGAGGTGGGTGGGCTGGAATGTCCAGAGCCTTGAAGGCCAGCTTTGTCTCCTTCTGCCAGGACTGGGGAGCTGTGGAAGGACTTGGACCAAGGAAATGAGGGATCCTTTCTGCTGTGGGGCCTCATCCTTTGGCCTCCACGGACCTGATTTGGTAGGATTCTTCTCAGGCAGCCTTGATGGGGGCCACCACCACCAGAGATGGGGGTTTTGTGGTTGAAGCTGGGGAGGCCCATGGGGGGAAGTGTGAGCCACCTCGAAGTTAAGCAGTTGCCTAGCGTAGTTCTGCCTGGGAGGCCTGTGAACAGCTGCAAGAAGGGGGCAGGATGGTGCCCCCTAATGACACTTGTCACTGGCTTTAGGGCCCACCTGGATAATCCAGGATGGTCTCAAGATCCTTCACTAACAGCTTAACGTCTGCGAAGACCTTTTGTCCAAATCAGGTCCCGTCACAGGGCCTGGGTATTGGGGCGTGGATATGTCTTTGACGGTGGGGGTGGGCATACCCATTTAGGCCGCTGCACCTGCTCACTGTCTCACACACCCTGCAGGAGCTCTGCCCTGCAAGTACCTGGCCATCATGGGGGGGTTGATTTGAATTTTCTGTCCAGAGTAGCTTCCCTCCCCAGAGACATGGCTGCCTGCCTTCCCAGGCTTTCTGTGTGTTTTGCAGCCAGTCCTGCAAGTCCTGACAGCTGGCCAAAGGGGAGGGGGATGGTGTGGGAAGTGGCTGAGACCAGGAGGGGTTAGGGTGGGGGCTGTGCTTGAGCAGGGATGGGGGGGCATTCACCTGGGGGCTCAATCCTTCCCTCCTCTCGGGGAGATGAGACTGCCAGCTTTCCAGAATATTTTCCCCCTGAGTCAAATCCCTTTTTCCTTTGGTCTGGCTCAGGCTTCGGAGTCCCAAGAGGGCCGGGAGCACGTGGGCCCTTGGCTATTAAAGCCAAGGTGAGAGCAAATTGGAGATTTTCCTGCAGAGGTGGTCAGTTTCTCAGATGTACGGTGCAGCCCAGACTGGGGAGCCTGGGTGACTCAGGCCGTGTTCCCGTGATCTAGTCCCGGGGGGTCCTGGCACTGGGACCGGCTCGACCATTAACCATCACCACGAGCTGGTGCCCTGCTTCGTGCCCTGCTGAGGGCCAGCTGCCCTGTCTAGCCATCCCCTGTCTCTCCTCCTGTTCCCTCTCCATGGTAGGTGGGGCCTGGAACTCAGGTCTCAGGATGTTTGTGGGCCTGGGCAGGGCAGATGCTACCTGGGGCAGACTGGGAGGGGTCTGGATCCCAGACTGCCGAGACTGGGTGTGTCAGGTGTCGCCAGCCACGGAGGGTGGTGAGACGAGAGTGTTCTGAACAAGGTGCGTGAAGGCAAACTTGGCGCTGAAATGGGCCTGACTGAGGAGGGACTGGTCAGTGGGGGCGGAGAGGACTCAGGAGGCCTTGACATGAGCCCTTCTTGCTTGCAGTGGCTGCGGCCCCCCTGGGGGCTGCTTCTTCCAGGAAATCCTCCCTTCTCTTCTGGGTCTCGATCTGCCTGTGCTGCCCTGGGTCCCAACCTTCTGTGTTGCCCGGATCTGCACACTCCCTGAGGGCAGGGATTGGGGTCCCCTCGGGAGTCTCATGCCTTGTCTGGCACAGGTGCAGAGTCTCCTTGGTGACTGACCACCTGGAAGAAGGGGGCCATTCCAGAAGAGAAGGAACAAGGACCCAGGCTCTGGGCGCAAAGCGCTGGCAGGCTGGCGGGTCTCAGTGGCTGATTGGGCACCCGGGCAGGTGGGGCACCGCAGCAGCTCTGAGGCTCTGGGCAGCGGGACCCCCACTCTTCCTGACACTTCTCTTGGGGGCCTCCTTGGTGGGCCTCAGGCTGGTAGTCTCACTCAGAAGAGGGAATCAGGAATGGAAGGCAGTTCCCAGCTGGAGGCCGCTGTGCGGGCATCGGGGGCTGGGAGGCACCCTGCCCTTGTTCGGGTGGGAAGACCCGAGCCCTTTCCCTCCTGGTGTCTCTGCTGCTGTGAGAAGGCTGGTGTCCGAGCCCCAGGGAGCATGCAGCGCGTCCACAGGGGCAGGACACCCGGGCTGGTGCTGGCTGCTCCCCGCCGGCCTCTGGAGAGAAAGGCTCAGTTTACAGGTTTAGAGTTCACTCAGTGGACTATTTGTCTTTTTTTTTTTTTTAAAGGAAGACACTACAATACTAGTATTGACTGTCTTTGATTTGACACTTGACTGAGAGAAAAAAATAGCTTCTTAGGAATTCAGGCTGACGATTGGTGTTGCAGGTGGAGGTGGGTTTCCTGTCTTAGGGGATAAAAGGGGAGGACACAGCAGATTTATTTAAGGTAGTTTTTGCTTTGAAGGTATGGCCGCTTCTTCTGCTAGTTGAAAAATGGTGTCTTGTTTAGAGGAAAGCATTAAACTGTCCATTAAAAGCCCAATCAGATCCCCTCCAGAGCCTTTTCTGACGGCTTTGTTCAGCTGCTCTGGACGTGCTGGGGGAGGAGGCTGGGTTGTTGGCGCACTAATCCGGCTCAGGAAGGCAGGGGGCCTTTATGAAAACCAATTCCTGCCATTCAGCTGCATCTGATGATTTCAGACAGCCGTCCCTGGGCTCTGATGCACCGCATAAAAATTCAAAAGCGCAGTATATTAATTAACGAGTTAATCTGCGGAAAAGCTCAGTGAATTAGCCAGAATCGTCACCCATGTTCTCAGATGAGCACCTGAAGGAAAAGGCCAACTGGACCGTGAGAACATGAACCTTCCAACGCGAGCTGGGGCCCGTGAGCAGGTGCCCGCTGTGGGGACGCTGGCCTCGATGTCCCCCCTCGCTTGCGAGACTGCTTTTGTTTGGAGGCCACTAGAGGCAGAGGGGGTGGCGGAGGGGTCTGCCTCAGGCTGCTCAGGCTGCTGTGACTGAACACCACAACCGGGGCTTAAATGGCAGACAGTTACTTCTCACAGCCCTGGAGACCGGATGTCCAGGATCCAGGTGCTGGCGGATTCTGCAGCTGGTGAGGGCCGGCTTCCCGCTTTGCAGGTGCTGCCCTCTCCCCGTGTGCTCGCACGGTGGAGACAGGCCGCTCTCTTCCTCTTATAAGAACACAGTCCTATAGGTTTAGGGCCCCACCCTAATGACCTCATTTAACCTTAATTACCTCTTATACTCTGGGGTAGGCCTTCAACATATGAATTTGGTGAGGGGCACAGTTCAGTCCATGGTGGAGTTGTGAGCATGAGCCCCTCTTGCCTGAGGTGGCCGCTGCCTAGCCCAGGCGCCCCTTCCTCCAGGAAGCCTTCCCTTCTCCCCTCTGGGTTTTCAGGGGGCCCTGTGCTGTCCTGGGTTGTGGCCTTCTGTGTTGACTATCGTTCAATTGGTCCTTTGCCCTCTGGGCTTGGCCCTAAGGTTAGACTCCAAGGGGCTACCAATGGGGAGACATTATCCATCCCCTGGGAGTGATACACCCATATCCCCCACCCAGGGATCACCCACGCAGTTTGGGGAAGATTTCTGGGGATTTGTGTGTTCAGGATTAATGTTTGATCTAATTTGATTCTCTGAGTCTCTGGACTCACTGTGAGGTTTCATCCTTTCAGGTCTTTGTCTCTCTGCCTGCAGTGCCTTCCTTCCCCTCTCTTTGGCCTACTTCTCCTTGGGATTCAGCCTGGCTTTTCCACCTCCAGGAAGCCCTCTGGAGCACCTGGCTCCGAGCCTACCACGCTATCTTTTGAGCAGTCACTTATCTGTCTTCAGTGCCTTGCAGAGCAGCTCTGGCTCTCATCCCTGGTGTTCAGAGTCGACCACCGAGTGAGTGCTCGGTAAATGCTTGTTGATGGAAGGAAGCTTCGTCCACCCGTGCCTGGAACAGTGCCTGTGTCTAGTGGGCACTCAGTCCACGTTTGATGAGTTGATTCATTGGAGCCAGCCTGTGGATCAGCTGCAGCTACCAAAAAGACTGAGCTGTGGTTAGTAAAGCCTTCCCAGACCCGGGACATCAGTAAGATATCACAATTTATGTAAAGCTTTTCATTATAACTCTGCAGGGAGTTTCCTCTGGTATTAGCATTTTTCAGACTCTCTTATCAGCAGCACTTCAAGGATAAAAGCTGGGGCTGCCGAAGGCGGGTGTGGGGAGAACAAACACCAGCTCTTTGCACATCCCAAATAGAGATGGAAGTCCAGGTAGGGCGGTGCTCCCGCGATGCTGTGGGGCCTCGCCCCAGCTCCTGCCTGCCAAGGACCTTTAGCACATTTCCTCCACGTGGCCACCGTGACCTGGAGCCACCTGACTGCAACTGGAGGAGAACGAGAGGAAGTTGTCCCCTTCCTCTGTCAGAAGAGCAGCCCTTGGAGTTGGCCCCTGACA